CGGCATTTAATCGCATTGATCTGTTTTTGTTCGCTCCGTTTACTTGATGAAGCGAAAAAGCTGAAAACATAGAAAAAGTAAACTGTGCTCAAATTTCAACATCAATATGGTGAGCGTAATAAAAATACGTTCCTCCTTAAATGTTATTTGCAAAGATACAAAGAAAAATGTTTTGAAATGATGCTCCAGAAAAGAAATAAATGGTTAGAAGAACTACGCATAAACTACTCAAGGTTTATCATTGAAAAGGATTCAAATGAGCTGTTATGTACTTGCAATGCTGTTTTCTTTGAATATTGTCATAAGATGCTATGAAATTCGAATTATTGCCATGAAATACGTTCATTCAAAAGCGAATATTGTTCATTGATGTTTTTGAAGTTTAGGTTTTCAGCAGTTTTGTGTCATGCATCAGTATCAAGTGATGAAATGTGATTATAGATCCATTTTATTTCCATGGAAATTTGCTTATAGCGATTGCACCTGAGCGGTTTTGAAATAGAACTCAATGCATTTTGATGTTTCAGTGTGTAGTAATAAAAATACCTAAACATAATGAAAAACGCTCAGCTTTCCGTTGAAGATTCAAATTATTCACAGAAACTATTCATGAAAAATGCAGTCAATATACAAACTTATTTAATGTCACAAACTTTTCCATATGCGAATCCATCAAGTCTCTGACACACGACCAGATTATATTTCAAATACGAAAATAATGCGATGTAATTAAACTGCAGAAAATTTTCGAAAAAATTAATTTAAAAACTTTGTTGCAAAATTATTATTTAATCAAATTGGAAGCTGGTTTTTTCCCCTTTGGTATAGGTCCTTGCTTGCAGTAAGCGTGTCATTGGAAAGTGAAGTGTACTTTTATTAGCATTATATGCCCCTGTCGCAATATAATAAGCAGAGTTTTATTCATAAATGAAATTAAACGCTTTACTCACTGCAACGAATTACACACCTCCTATTCATTTTACAACTTTGTTGTAAAAGTGTTGTTTGAACACTAAATGAGACTACAAACTGGGCCAGGTCTCTCATCTCAGCTATGTTTAATGTGCTGATCTTTTTTACTAGCGTCAACTAGCCCGTAGTAACAGCATAAGCAACTTTTTAATTGGTGACCTTTTGTCGCACACATTTCTCAACGAATTGAGAGAGTGGGTGCAATATGATGGTGCATATTGTGTTACAGTCGTAATAAATCTTTCACCTTTCAAATCTAGGATGTACATGTGTTGTCGAGTGATTTAAAGCAATGCAGCGATAATTTTATGATGTGAATAAATGCAATGACAAGCATCACCGCTGAGTTCATTAAAGTAGCGTTTTTTTCGTGCTCGTACAAGAAAACGCATAAATCAAGTCGCTTTTTTCGGCACGGATTTCAACTCAGTTTTTTTTACGTCAAATCTTATGCACAGACACAAGATGAAAAGTGTGCTACATGATTCTCTGTGTATTTCTTCATTTTTTGTATGTGTGTGAGTCGCAGTTCAACTAGAATTTATTAAACCCAACAATTTTGTGCTTTCATTTGGATAAAATACGATGGAAAAAAAGAGAGGAGAGTGCGATGGATTCAACGAAGGCAAACCAGCATCAAATGAAATTACCACTTGTTTCAGCTCTCTCATCCGCAGGAAATGCAAAAGCCCCATGTAAACCGCATGCTTGTACGGTCGTTTGAGTTGATTTATTTTATTTTGTTCACATGCACACTCTCAGCGAGGATGGCGACGGTGACGGTGACGATGACAACATCGGCATCAATGCTTAACACATCTTGTAAGCTCAAGCACCTTTGCCAACTCCCCTGCGCAGTGAGCACACTGTAACCACCAGTTCGGGTTCGGGTGACATGAAAAATTACTGTCGTCGTGTCTTGCACAATTGTGCATCACTTGAGACAGAGTTAATGCAAAAAAGAGATGTAATAACGTCATTACGGGCTGAACATACACACACAATTAATAATTGCGTCTCGTTGGCAAATTTCAACTCACATTTTCCGTTGAAAACAACTTGAACATGTCGCCGTTAACCGATTCCGTTTTCTCTTCGGTGTTTTTTTTCATGCTTTTTTCTGCTTCAATTCAATTTCCGTGCAATACATAAAGCGAAGCACGAATTGACACACTAAGTCGAAATAGAATCTAAAAACGGACTTTAAACCGTTCGAGTATGGTTTTATTGGCATGAATTTTGTAGCTATAGATCGACCGTGTCACCCACACAGCAAATATATGTATTAGGATTGGCAACGGGATCGGCACAAGGTTAACTTGATTTTCGCATGAAATGTTTATGCTCGTCGTTGTGCAACCACCCGCAATTTTTCGTTTGGCACCAAATGCAGCACGCGAAAGAGTGGAAGGGTTGTGTGGTACACAGCAGAAGGAAGAAAAACAAACGGCACCAATGGTCGGAATAAAAGCAACGGCAGATTTATAAAAATTGGACAATTTCGGAATCCATGAACTAAAAATGAATGCATTGAAACATATTTTCGATTCATGTGTCTTTTACCCCACAACAAAATAGGAATGAAAGAATACTCCGCTCAAAGGAATTACTGCCGAAGCGCGCACTCGATAGAGAAAGAAGGAGTGAGTGTGTGTGGAAAAAAGAATTGCATCGCCATAAAAAATGTAGACAATTTGAAAACGGCTTCTGTGAAAATCGCATTCTTTGCAAATCGAAAGTAACGCGATGGCTTTATATGTACAGTCATCGGGAAACAAGCAGATAGCAAATGCGTTTCCATTTTTTTAGTTGTTGTTGCTTCTTCTTCCTTTTTTACACTGTTTACATTGGCTCTGTTTTCGGCGACCATCAACCAGAGAAGCATCTATCTTCTTAGCTTGGCTCAATGCCCAATTTTTCTCGTTCGATTCAAATTTACATGGCATTTTCTCGGGGATTTTTTTTCTCTCTCACAAGAAATACCATGAGAATTTTTCGAATAAATATCACACACCGAGTGGCCTGTGCATGAGAACCGAACAAACTTGAACTCATTTCGTTTGTGTGTGAATAATAATTATAATTTTTGTAGAGCCGCATGAAATATATCTGAGTGCTTCTCCCTCGTACAGCGGATAATTATACCAAAAAAATATGATTTTTCAGATAACGATCCGTTCAACATCAAGGTCAATGGCGTATTTTCAGCATACTAGTAATTGCATTTGATGCTATTTTTATTTTCTCCATTGACGTAAAATATTCACATGAATTTTTTTCAAAACAAACAAACGGGACATTTTTTTTTTATATCACCGTTGGCCACTTTATTATTCAAAATATTTTCTCATTTCATTGCAATCACCGCCATAAATTCATTTATTTGCTATTTTCGGGAAAAAAAAGTGGTTCTCTTTGCATTTTATTTATTGTGGCGAGAGGATTTTGTTGTTGTCTCTCTTTGTGTTTTCAACGTCACAAGTGATTCACATTTAATCAAGACTGCATTCTTTGTATGCTGCCAAATTATACATGTACGTTGCGAGTTGTGTGATTGTGCTTTCGCCGTTTGTATCATCCTGTACTGTGATAAATTATATCAGCACACGGCAGAATAAAAAATGGGAGAAGCGGAAAAAAGGGCGAATTTATTCATTTGGTACATTATTTACAATTACTCGCGGTCAAAGCAGCCAACACATATACACACACACATGCAAACATTGGCGGTTAAATCATCGTTCGTTTGGTGCAACTCACATACAATTGGGCAAATGAACAATAGCCAAAATATATTTCTCCTCTATCTACGTGCGGCTTTTTTTTCAGCGGTACCGCAATGAAACAGTATTTCTACAATTCTTGTGCTCATCGTATGTATGTATGAGTATGCCACGTTTTGCCGCTCCTCTTCACTCTATTCAGTGGAGGCTCTTGGTTTTGCATATTTAAATTAATTATAAATAAATACGTTCGTTTTATGCAAAAATGTGTGCATATAATAGCACTCGGGCCATTTTTATAGCGTGGCTCTCGACGTGCCCGTTCATTTTTTCAGACCTCCGAATGCAAAAGTTGGTGTGTGTGTGTTTGTGTTATTTTCATTATGTTAAATAACGTGGGCTTGAAGTAGAATGGCGGGGAGCATAACAACAAGAGCAAAAAAAGTGACTGGCAACATTGATGACAACAAAATGCACCATCTCTATCAACTCATTAAAAGTCATCGGAACGGAAATTGTAATTAATAGTAAAATGGGAGAAAAAAACACACCACAAAACGTGAAAATGGAAGTAGAATTGTCAGTTTGACAACTGTTCACCTAATAATGCGTATTCCACTCAATGCAGTTATTCATTCAGACAACTCAGCTGAGCTATCAAGTGCATCTTCTGGATAATGTTCATTGACGCTTAGTGTTGGCATATTTATTGTTGTAGTTATGTGTTACAAAATACTTGCGTTCGACAGGGATTATGTGAGCATACGACGATTTCATCGGTGTAATGATGCTCAAACTTGCGCTTGAAAATCAATCAAAACTGACCTACACCCATCCGAACACAGTTTCAATGGTCTATAAGAAGGCGAACACTTATCTTTGCCATTCTCTCATACACACAATCCAATTTTCAGCATGTTGTGTAAACTTCAATAATGATATTGGTCGAATAACAGAATGAACATGTTCATTTATTCATTTTCCCTGTCAAAACATCGCTTCCCCTTCCAGTGGCTACCATGCAACTGTCAACTGTTCGTGTTTGGTGGTAGCCATCATTTTGGCATGCGCTTTAGATGGCTTTTAGTTGCCGGTCTAAAAATTGTTTATTTCAAACGTGGATATCCACGAATGGACCGATTTACAATGCTCGAAATACACCCGACGCTAAACAGTTGTGTCTATTGGCAACGCAGGGGAACATTGACACACAAATTTCGGAACGAACAACGTTGGTAGCCGAAGTCAACGAAAGCACCGAATCTGATGCTTGGTCTCGTTTCCACTTTAACCCGAATTCCATTCAGTACGCTGTATGAAGTGCTAACGAACGGTTCAACGGTATCGATTTGTGCGTTTTTGTGTGTGATTTTTTTACTCTCTACAATCGACGACGCGGCGATAGAGTTTCTGTCTCATGCATCAATGCTTTCGCATTTTAATCGATGAGTACAAGCGAATTAAGGTGCTTGAAGGTTTCCAATAAAATGAAACGGATGTAGGTGTTATTTTGAGTGATGGAATTTCGGGGGGGAAGAAAATGTCGGAAATTATCTTACGTTTGAGTGATTTATGTGAAATTTTGAAACATTTCAACAGCTTATGTTGAATAACGATTCCAAGAAGAAAGAAAATACCACCAAAACAACCAATAAAAAAGTGAGATAAACAGGATTTATGGAGCAAGGGAGGAAAACGCTACGAACAATTCAGAACAATTGACGGAGGTGGAGAACAAACATCCGATTTTAATTACAAGCGCTACGAGTTTACAGTGAATAAACCGATACTATATTAATGTAAAAGTGAAAACAAACACGGTAAATAATTCGTGATTTTTACACGACACAAAATTGTATTGCTTTCACATCGCTCAGCAAAATTATTTATCCGGTAATTTTTCCGTCACACATACACATATAAACATAACACAAAAAAAGTAACCGTTCCTTGTATTGCATACGTTTTGTCAACATCAGTATAGGCACATTAATTTTCAATATATCTCGATTAAGCCAAAAGTGAAGTCGTCAAGGTTGAAGTACGAAAAATCCATTAAGTGGATTTCAGTTCAATTTTGGGTGCTAAAACATTTTCAACGCCGAAAATAACAACCAAAAAAGGGAATAAAAATAACGACAACCAATCAACAGAAGCTCAAGAAGCGAATTATGTGTGCTTGGCTTTGTGATTTATAGATTTTTTGCCAAGTTTGAAGCTTTCAACATTTATATTATTATTGATTGTGTATATTCTTGTGTGGGAAGGGGATTTTCCAGTGATTATTTTTAACCGCATAAAAATCTGCGGAAAAAAAACTGTGGATGCCATTTCAAAGCCTGACACGTGACAGAATTTGAGCCGCACCAAAATTACCAGATTTATTTTGTGATTCAATCCAACATCAAAGCTAACGAAGGCACACACAAAAAGAAATTGATGAAAATAACGGTATTGTTCAGCAAAAAGGAAGAAAATAAACGTTTTGTGGTGAATAAAACAGTGACTTCAGTCGGAAGGACATAATTACGATACAAAAACATACGATCAACTCAGCAAAACTGATCTGCAGTTACACACAGCGGAAATTTCTCAAATTGAACAACAAAGCACGGATTAAAGTAAATAATTTTCCTTGATTTCGTAATAATTTCGCTCCAATTTTCTTTCATTATATATTTTTGCAACAAATTTTCAGTGACAAGCAAACTCAAACACACCATGAAACGAACAAGTTGTGTGTGCATTAATGTAATCTCGACTACGTTTTGTTCAATTTCATGAATGATGAGTGTTTTCCAATTTTCGTTTGCGACGCGGTAAAAGTGTGTGGAAAACTTTTTTTTTTGTTTTGTTTCGGATAATGAAAAAGTTTTTGTGAGCTTGTTCGCTGAGAAACAAAAACATGAAGAGATTAAATGTCGATTTGTCACACTTCATTGAATCCATTAAAAACGTGAACATTTGAATGAAGTCGAAGTTTTCAACTAACGATTGTCGTGAAGAACTCTCAGCACTTTTTTCCCATTCAAAATGAATCGGCTTGCAAAAAAAGAAGTCTCAATCCTAAATTTGAATATTGTTACCATGAGCCGAATGAACGAATCATGAGCCGAACGAACGAACGAACGAAAAAAGGAGTCTTTGGAAAATGGAACAATAGATTCTGGTGTTGTGTGTTATATGTTCTCATTTCGGTATCAGGCTGCTAGACTTTTCGTGTTGAATTAAGCATTAAAAACTATAAGGATATTGACACAGCAAAAGTTTTTCGTCAGTTGAAACAAAAACGTACGACAAAAATTCAACTTATTTGCATAAAACACATGCAACAACTCTTCCAACAGTAAAGTGTTGTAAACTATTTTCGGAATGAATGAATGAATGGCGCAGTTATCTGACTGCATAATGTGTTTATCAGAAAGTTAAATATCTGTGTGAAAAGCTGAAAATAAACCTACTGCTACCGGTTGCCGTCTGAATATTCGATAAAAAATTTCCGTGTGTTGAGCAGAGAGAGAAAAAATTACTAGGTCGTTGTATCTTAATCATTTGTTATCGTTAGATTCACTACTATTTCGAAACGATTTCATAGTTCGAAATTAGAATTTCTTGCTTGAACGACCGACAATTGTAATGATGAAAAATTTGTAGCGTTGATTTATGGTTTCGGTGGAATTTATTACGTAGTTGAGTTTCTGCTCATTTTTTCCCCTTTAACTATTCGAACGCTCGATTACATATTTTGAATGAAAGGGAAGCAATACACGATGATATGGTTCGTAGGCACGGAAGTCTATTATTTCTTGATTTGCAGCTCAGTTCGTTGTTTCTGTTTTTATTTCCAGTTTTTTCATCGTTCTTTCCTTATTGTTATCGTTATTTCGCCGTGTGTGTTCATTTTGGTGCGCGTATAAATTAGGAAAAAATGAACAAAAGTAATGTGGAAATAAACAATATATAGCAACGGGAAGAAGCCAATTCCACTGCATGAAAATTCCGAGCTATTGCCCGATATTCGAAACGGGCCGTCGGCATGCTTTGCCCATTTCACGGCTTTATAATATGCTGGTATCGACAAGACAATTTACACACACTTGGGGTAAAAAAGCCAATAATTTTTTTCTCTCCTCTGTACGTTGTTAATTTTTATTGTTTTGTTTTCCTCCCCAATTTCACTTAATGACTTAATAACTTGCGCTTTTTTTCCATGTACATTCAGCGACGATGCTCAAAGCGTACGTTCCTTTAAGTTTTTGGGCACAAGCAAAATTATATCAATATAAGCGTAAATTCAACTCCCGGCCTCGGAAGTTAATGTGAAAATTGCAAAAAAAAGAGATTGATGGCCAATATCATATTACATGTCTCAACGTGGTTATAAGTTCACAGTGTGGAAAAACACCATTTCATCAAATTATAAAAAAGCATTCAAAGTGATCGCTCCCTGAACGAACAGCAACAACGATGACAACCACCAAACTTTCCCTCACCCCCCACGTGCGCGTTAAACGAAGAGAGAAAACCACCGTTAATATCTGATATCCAAATCAAATCAATCAATCAATTGTTACGGTGTAAACGAAACGCCTTAAGACGTTCTTGATTGATATGGAACCTAGTTTTGATTTCAAATATGCTCAATGAAGAATGGCAAACAGTGGTGGAGAGTTAAATATCTGTGTGACCAGGCAGGTCGATTTCATTTGTATAGTTTAACATGCTTAATTTAAAATAACCTAATAGTAACCGAGCCCTGAATGATTGTGGCGTGAACTTTTTTTTGCATCGTTCTGACGTATGACCGTACTTAACCTTTTGTTTAACATTTGATTTAATATGTTGCTCAGCATGCGATGACGTGTGATTTCGTAAAATTTGCATGAAGCTCGCCTTTGTTCCATCCAACTACAAGTCGAATGGAACTCAAATCAACGAATCATTTCGTCTCATTCGTTTGCATCGTGAAATTCAATTGAATTTTGATATGCATTTGGGTCTTTGTTTTTGATTGAAAAACAAAATCATCAAATGTTGATGACACGCACTCTGTTTTCAGCTACTTTTATCTCAGACTTAATGACGAACGGAAAATTTTGATCTTTCATCGCACTGTGTGTGCGTCCATGCATCCATGGATATTTTGCCATTGTGTATATTGATTATAGCGACTGATAAAAGTCAGGCCATGTTTCACATGGTGATACTCGGAAATAAAACATCGACGGAGAAGAAAAGGATCTGCAGACAAGGAAACAGATTTGTCATGCGGTTCGTTTGTTGAACACCGAAAAGGATGAAGGGAGAAAAAAATCAATTTCCTGATTAAACATTATGACGATGGCAAATGAAAATGGTGTTAAGTTTGGTTCGGGCTCTGATAAAACACATGAAAATTCATTGATGGCAACACAGAAAAACGGAGATACGATCTGTCAGTGGCACATAATCAGAATTGATTTAATTAAAAGGATGGCTGATCGAAATGAAACGGTATACGAAAATTCATGGGATTGCTTGTGTATGTGTTTCGCAGTAAAAAGCTGTACTAATTGCTTTGCCGCTCAAAGCGACCGCTTTTTATTTATGCACGATTTACTACTGAGCTCACTTAACATCGTCATCATTCTCTCACTCAATCTAGCCGGGTTAGCTCCTTTCTTTTTCAATCGGCTCAAATCGCGAGAACAAAACCGAGCCCCATCAGAGATTAGAATCGTAAAACATGCGATATCAATAAAATGAAATGAGTGCAAAGCATTCAGTCACATCAGAGCCGATATAATATTTTACCATCCGTATCGATTCGGTTCATGGATGGGTCCTCCCCTTTTGGTCGACAATGATGACAACCAAAGTGAAGCGACAACGCTTTGCTGCTTGGATCAGTTTAATGCGTGCCAAGTATTTCAATCGGGCATATTGTGATGCGGGTTTCGATCGACAATACATAATACATTTTTGGTACGGTTCGGTTCAGCTTTGCTCGCAAAAAGCGACACCATATAAACAGCATGGGAAAATGTGTGGTATTTCAGAAGGACCACCGAAAAATATATTATGAATCTAATAAAACATTAGAAATTAAACGCGAGAACATCAATTTTACAAATGACCATCAATAAAAGTCAGAAAAAAGTGGGACAAGTCATAGCAGAGAGAGAGAGAGAGAGAGAGAGAGGTAAACAATGGCATTTGTAATAATAATGTTTAAAGGCATCTTTATGTTCAAGCAACGAAACCAGGAAGTACGAGCTGCTAAATACGGAGCGAAAAAAGCTCCGAATAATTTGGTATGCGTGTGTATGAAGTTGAGATTACTCATCTCACTGTTTGCTTTTATAAAATGCTCATAATTTTCATAATGAAAATGTCGAGGAACATCTTTTCGTATCGGTGCCGGACCCACGTAAACAAAATATCCAGGCAGCCGCTTTTTATGGTTGCTCATAAAGCGCCAAATCATAAATAAATAATAAAATTTGCGAAAAAGGACACAAACACACACACACAGCATCCGGGAATCGACTGTTTGGCATTGTACTAAAAGAAACATAAAAACATACGACGCGACAGGGAAAACGTGAGCCACTTCAAGGCACAACCGAAACGAGAAGAAAGAGAGACGAAACACTTCGTTCCGAATCGTTTGTGTGCAACACGCCTTATCTTTAATAAAGCTCACGCTTTTCTTTTGTTGCTGCGTTCAGCTGGAGACAGCGAGTATATTTCGGCATTCCTTTCTTCGAGACCGTGCCAAGGTCTGGAATTTATCCATTAAAAGTCAAAAATGAATAGCGGCCAATTGCCTTTCGCCAACGCATAAATTTCAAATGATAGTCACATAGATTTTCATCTAAAATCAAATCGGCGCAACAGCACAAAGCCAGAAAGATTCATTGACAGTGGGTATATATCGCGTGTAGAAGATGGTGTGCCACTGCATGGAATTTCCGTTGTTCGCAACAAAACAATTCCACTGACATAATAAAAACGTATTTATAACTCGATTGATTTGATTGGATCGTTTTTCGTTTTCTTTTTGCCTTCATGGCTTGTGTAACACGCAGATTTTCCTTCGATAAAAATCAAATGAGAATTGAACGAGAAGCCGTTTTTACGATATCATTTGACGCTTAAACGTTCACACTTGAAGATTTCAACACCAAACATATTTTATGGACATAACCAATAAAGTAAATGTATTCTCCGGAGCTGGCCTGGCTGTCTGGCTGGCTGGCTCAATTCACTACCACTAAACGTCGATGAAATTGCTGTTAACTAAAGAAATGAGGGGTTGTAAAGTTTTTCATTGCAACTACTAAAGCTTGTCATTATGTTTGTTAACGCCGTTAATTTGTTTCGGTTTAAAAACGATAATAGTACCTAATTAATTCATTGAAGCATATGCGTGAGATACGGCCTTCCTTGGAAACAACATGTTCTCAATGTTTCAGGTAAAATCAGATATGGTGAAAACAAATTGTGGAATAGTGGCAATTTATGAGTTACGAGGGGCGACAATAAATTACCCAACGTAATTAGCATTTGATTTCATTCTGATACTGTATAAATTTTGGGTTATTAACTTTTTCGGAGCCGTTGAAAGCACTTTAGTACT